GTGACATCTTTTGATGTAACATTACCCTCCAATCCAATTAGCCCAACACTTGTCAACTTTACTCAACACTGATGAGCAGTTTATGCTAACCTGGAAGTTAGTCCCAGGCAGCAACTGGTTCTTTCAAATTCACATCGGACTACCTCTACTGATTAACTGCACCAATCAAACCCTGCCTAGTTTTGTATTTATATTCAGTGTGTGTTACTCTGTATGGTTTATCAGACACTAGGGATTACATGTCATACAGATTAAACAACGCAATAAATGCTCTATATTTATATTTAGTTCTATAGTTAGCATGTTGCTCTTTCTCTGTGAAAGTCTAATAAAGATCAGAGGAATGGAACATATATAAATTCAAATTTAAAAATATAACAGAGCCTCTGACCAACTCAAGTTCACAAAGGCAGATTGTAAGCACAAAAAAATTAAGGCAAGGAATTGCATATTTACTTATAGCAGAGGGACTCTATAAAACACTAAAAAAATCTGTACATTAAATACAACAATTCTGGCTGTTGTGTTCAGTCTTGTTTTTAAATGAACAAATTATTCCATCTAGTGGCCAAGTGATCGCATACATTTTTTAAATGTTTAGATATCAGTAAAAATCCTTCCTGCCTCCTTAGCACATTACTTTATTTGTTAGATTTCACTTTTAACGTTCCCATTCGGGGTGGGTGTAGCTCAGGTGGTAAAGCAGGTCTACTGATCGTAAGGTTGATGGTTCAATCCCCGTCTGCCACGGAGAGTATAGTTGGGCAAGATATTAACCCCAAGTATGAATGTGTGCTTAGACAGAAAGCACTTAAAAGTGTAGAAGAAAGTACTTGTGGCAACATGTGGCATGTTGTATAAAGCGCTTTGAGTGAGGGAGAGTAGAAGAGCGCTATGTAACAATCAGCCCATAAGATGTTGGGAGTTTTTTTGGTTCTTTTTTACTTTCTTCATTTGTATAATTTTCTGAACTGTTTTGTTCTTTGATATTATATGTATTTTACTGAACTAGGTCATTTTGTGTGTTTCCCTGTTGCAACAGTAGGGATGGAAAGCTTGAAAGAAACACCGTGTCAAGCTGTTGAAGGGCAGATGTCTTCGAAATACTGCTCCAAAGCGTTGTTCAAAACACCCAGATCAAGTGGCCACGACTAAAGGAGGTTTTAGTGTGCTTCATACCAATTTCAACAGATGGCGCACCTGCTGTTTCTACGCAGTGCCAGGTGCAAGGATTACATTTTTTTTTTTTTTTATGAGCCAGAGTTATTTGTAATTACTGAATTAATGTTTGTTGGCACTTACGTTTGGATTTCTCACATGCACATGTGTAAAATAAAACAATACCCCATCTTTCATTATCTGACCACTACTGGCCATCCACTGGAATGAAGAGTGTAATTAAATAAATATGACATCTTGTCTTTCTGTTCAGTTAACTTTTGGTTTGCATTTCTAAAAGTTATCTCGTTTGTTCTCCACACATACTGTTTCCTTTCTGTCATAATCACAAGGAGAACTGACAGTAAATACACAGACAGGTCAGACAGGTGAAATATGTGACAGTGAATTAAGCATCCTGAAGTAACTGGCTCTATATGAAACCAAGCAATGATGGATTATTAGGGGAATTTCACAAGACATTCATCACAGAGTTGGCTTCTTTTCTGCTTGCTGTATTCCAAGAACTAATTGGTGAAAGTTAACTTCCTGTATAAACAAGGAGTGATAACACTTACTCCATATATACCAAAGAAATATACCGTACCTGGATAACTGAAGGCCAGTAATTTTACAAAAAAAAATGATGAAAAATAAATATTATATCAGAGGCTTTTTCAATTGCTGCTGTATCCACAGTGTTCGTTCTACACCCATCATTTTACACTCAAAACGTAGCCATTGTTGCCCTCGTTCCAACGATGTATCTCTTAAAGTTAAGAGATGTAAACTTTTTGAACTGTGTGGATCCAAGTGAAGAGAGTACCTTCTAACCGACCCATAGAAATACATTGGATTTTCACTCAGGAGTTTGGCTCAACAGCATGAAAGACCCTACTTTTTAAAGTGATGACCCCATTTTTTGACACCAGGAATATAAAAAACACACTTTTGTTTAAAACAAGTCCTCTGGATCCTGATGGTTCAAAAATCATCTTGATAGGAGTTACCATCTCGGATTTAGAAGCAGTGTTTCAACAGGTGTACCGAGGCAGATTTGACAGGCATTTGCCACAGAGTAGGCCACAACTAGACAGAGCATTCTGATTGGCCAGTTACAGTGGCTTGCAAAAGTATTCGGCCCCCTTGAACTTTTCCACATTTTGTCACATTACAGCCACAAACATGAATCAATTTTGTTGGAATTCCACGTGAAAGACCAATACAAAGTGGTGTACACGTGAGAAGTGGAACGAAAATCATACATGATTCCAAACATTTTTTTTTACAAATGAATGACAGAGACAGAGAATCTGGACTCTGCAGGAACTTATGTCAGGCTACTGTTTGTGGACTTCCACTTTCAGGTGGATCACTGACTTCCTGTTTGAGAGGAAGCAACAAAAGCTGATGACACCTCACATGAACTGTTTGTCACACTGTCCTCTGGCAAGAGGCTGCTGTCCACCACTTCAGCCTTATTTTACTGACTTCCTGTTTGAGAGGAAGTCACTGATCTACACATAGCAGATTATAGTAGACAAGCAAATAGTCTGGTTTTTACTTTTGTAACTTTAAGATTCCTGAGTTTAGACATTTAAAATCCCACTCTTCTAGTAATTAAAAGAATATTCATTCAGATGTTTTCCAACTCTAATTATTCTTTTGTCATTAGTCAGCTTTTTCTACTGTACATTTTAAAGATGTTCAGCAACTTTCCACTTCTAGGTGAACTTCAGCTTTCTACAGTTCTGCACTTTGGCTTTGAGGTGAATGATTCAGTGTGTTTCAGCTGTCATGTGCAGCTGTGTAGCAGCCAGGATGAGGACCCAAACGCACGACTCAAACAAAAGGTTGAACTCAACACAGCAGCATTATTTGCTGGAAAAAAACTCAGATATTGAATACAAAACTTAACTGGGAACTAGAAATGTAAAACTCAAAATTAGGAAACAAACCAGGAGCACAGAGGAGACACACAGCAATGAAGGTGTACGACACAACAAAGTGCAGAAGAAAACACAGGGATTAAATACACAAGGGAGTAACGAGGAAATGGGAAACAGGAGGGAAGCACAGCTGGGACTTTTCTGACATAATGAGACAAGGTGGAGGCAAAATCTGAAAACACTGAATACAAGACTATCAAAGTAGAACAGGAAACACAAGACAGGCACGGAGACGGAGAATTGACAAGGAAACCACGAGAAGCACAGACATGAAAACATAACTTGATTAAGACGTGACACATGGAGCACAAGGAAGGCACAATGACACAACCTAAGATCTAAAAATCATTAAAGACAACCAGAAACTAACTAAACTGAAGAATATTAATAATCAAAAACACAAACATATGACATGTTTTTTTCATCACAGATTCAGCAGTCATTAGATTTCAGTTCAAGCAATTCATCTATCAGAATTCACGTTGCATTTTCTTCAGGAAATGCATTGTTTAGTAAAAATTCAAGCAAAAAATCAAGCTGCATTTATTTCTATTTCATATCACTTTATATCTTCATCTCAAAGATAAATGCATCCATACACAATATGTTTGGATGTATTGCATGTAAAAGAGACAAATGTTGTTATTTTAATATATTGGCTCCACTACATTTGTCTGAAAGTAAGAAGACAAGGTGTGCTCAATTGCATGTTTCTGATAAATGAAGACTAGGCAGAGCAGAATTTATTTTAACTTACTTTATTCATCCACATACATGACCAAACATAAAGAAAGTGCAAAACGTGAAAATAAACATATACAACCCTTAAAACACTTCTCAACTTAATTTCTTGGTTAGAAAACCAAGCCTTCTATATTATATCAATTTATTTATAAATTATTGATTCCCATTTGTATAGATAATGTTTTTTTTTTTCATGAGTACCATCACCAGTGGAGGACAGGAAAGGAAAAAAATACAAACAAACAAGAAAGTACAAACAAAGAACTATAAGAGGCATCTACTATTCTTATATAGGTTTATCACTGGTGACCATTCATCTGTAAATCTGTCTGTTTTTAACTGTAGTCTTGCAGTAATTATGTTCCAACAAAGACAGCCTTGAGCCAGTTTTTACACTCCTTTACACTGGGAGAAAAAAAAACAGGAACCAACTGGGCAAAGATGAGACAGGCACATAAAGTCCTTATAAAATATGATGTAATGTTGTAGATCAATCAAGTATATAACTTCCATCCATCCATTCTCTTCCACTTATCCATTTCATGGTCACAACTGGAGCCTATCCCAGCTGCCATAAGGTCAGAGGTGGGGTACACCCTGGACAGGTCGCCGTATAAATATCTACTCCAATAATATGCAACAACCACAGTACTATTAATCAAAATACACCTTGTTTCATGACACTTAATCATTTATTCTCAGGTACATTCTGGTACTGACACCAGAATGTACTTTGATTTTCTTTTTTTCCCCTTTTTTTGTGAATGAATGAATAACTTTTCATTGCTCTTTAAGGAAATCTCCTCTCAGCACAGTAGTGACACACACGCACTACAACTGTCTGTAAATTGTGCTACGTTTGTAAAGTGCATGGTTCTTTATTATTTTATTTGCACGATATAAGTACAACAGTTAATTGATCTTTTTCACTACTACCTGCATTCCAAATATTGCAGGTGTGTGGTGGTTGTGAAACATGTATGCCAGCAATCCATCCTGGCCACCCCACTGAGAATTTCCTGGCTCCGCCGCTGGATTGCACGTGAGCACGGGGTGGGTGATCCCCGTGCTATCGGAAACGTGTACGTGGACTGACACGTTTGCGGGACCAATCGAGATTTCCAAGTTCAGTCTGGAACCCCCCCCCCTTAAAAAAGTAAACGAGGGACTTGACAGAGGCCGATGTGCAAAGCCTCTCTTTTGTTTGCATGAAACTCCACGTGAGAAGGCTTACGTAAAATCGTTTTTGACCAATCAGCTCCTGCTTACTAGAACCGGAAGTTGTACGCCATTGGCATTTTCCTTAAAGCAAGACTTGACCAGCGTTTTTATAGGCTACAAAACAAACCGTATATTACCGTTTTTAAATTTCGAAGTGTACCTGTCGTTAAATTGGCAAGATGAAACACAACTCGAATGTCCCAGCTTTCCTCACTAAATTGTGGACGTTGGTCGAGGACACAGACACCAATGAATTTATTTGCTGGAGTCAGGTAAAGTTAAAGCTGCATACAGCTAGCATGCTAGTTTTAAATTCCAAAGCAAACAAAACATTTAGCTAGCGAGAATAACCTTAATTTAAAAATCGGTAATCAAAATTAACAACAGGATGTGATCATCCTTGATTTTCATAACATGTATTCGACAAATTGCATTGTGCAAAGCTAAAAACAAACTATTAGCTAGCCAGTAATTTTTCTTTGCTGCGTGTCTGCTGCTTAGCTAGCCTACGCATACAGAACCAGTCCCTGCATGCGAGGGTCAGTTTAAAATTTTGGCCTCTACAGGCTGATAATTTTGTTTGTGTGTAATTACGTACACGCTAAAATAGTTCCAGTTGTCCTTGAAGGTGCGTTCTCACTGTCGTAGTGTTGATTTTTTTTTCCCAGGAGGGCAACAGCTTTCTAGTTTTGGACGAGCAGCGCTTCGCCAAGGAGATACTCCCCAAGTTTTTCAAGCACAATAACATGGCCAGTTTCATCAGGCAGCTCAACATGTGTAAGAATGCTTTCGTTACCTCATCTTAGTCTGTATCTGTCAAAGCAAACGCATTCTGCTTCTGAAAAGTGTCCTTTTTTCTGCTGAATAAGTTTGTTTGAATTTGGCTTTTTGTGTATTAGACAGCAGCTACGCAGGTGCTTGGTAAGTAGTAACACACATGTCAGTTCACTTCATTCATTTCTGTGCAAAGATCACAATCAGGTTATTGTTTAAACACCCATCCACTGGACCACCTAGCAAAAATGCATGGACAATATCAAGACCGCCATTGATTACAACTAATTTGTAGATTACTTTAACAGTTGTTTGTTATATGCCTTTGTTTTTTCACATTTTAAGTTATTATAGTCAGATTTAGAGGTGGGAACCATGGAGCAGGCTGTGATACATCAATTCATGTCCTGTGGCATTTATCAGAGTCACATGCCATGGTCGTAATAAAGCTGTTAGCTTCACTACAAGTGTAGAGTGAGCTTCAGTCTTTCAGATACTCCATGCACCTTGTTGGTGAAGTTGTCCCTGAAACTGTTGTTCTGTGACATATCACAATAGCTTTATGACGGCATTCCGTTTGTCCTCCTTTTTCGTAGGTACCCCCTTATAAAGGTTAATGAAGTGTTAAGTAAGTGAAACTGATAGGGTAGTGTGTTTAGAGCAGTTGCATTTAAAAAATCAGTATGATGTATTATTTCACTCCTAGTCTCATTTCCTTATCACTTGGGATAATTTTAGAGACTGTTGGATAGTATAGTAACCACATGGCATATTGCAAGTATTACCTGCTTCTTAGGAGACAGTCTATTCAGTGCCATGCTCAGTCACTGGCTAGTGTGCCAGTCTGCATGGGCAAGATACTAATCCCAAGTAAGCACTTACAGCAGAGCAGAAATGCAATATATCACAACCAGTCCATTTACTATGTATAGCTACTTACTGTAAAGAATTAACACTGTAAACTCACCTTTTACGCTTTAAATTCAGGATGCGGTTGTTCTGCACCAATGTAACAATAAAATTGGCTAGAATCACGGGGCTACAGCAGGCACTGTGTGACAGTTCTGTGACTCCCATTTTCAGCATTTCTA